GTCCGTTCTTCTATACGGCAGTGCAACGTGGACGATGTACCGTCGGGATGTGCGATGTCTCGAGCGGTTCCATCAACAATGTTTACGACGGATTTTGCGCATCGTTTCTTGCGAGAGTTGCTGAGACGGAAGTGTTGCGCCGAAGTCGGATGTGTGCAGTGGATTGCATACTTGTAGTGAGACACGAGGTGACTCGGTCATGTGAGCCGTATGGATTCGACGAGGAAACCGAAACAACTATTACATGGTCAGCTGAGTATTTGGAAGCGTCACGTGGGGAAAACAAAGTTACGTTACCTGGATATGATCAAAGTGAGCCTTTCACGTTTTCATATTGATTGCAATTTATGGGAATCGAATTCGGTTGATCGGCGTGCATGACGCGATCTGATCACGAAGGCAGTTGCCGCGGTGCGTGAGGAAGTCCTCATACATGCAGAGAAGAGGCGGGAAGCACCGATTGGTTGTACTCCATCGTGATCGAGCGGATGGTGCTGTAGCACATGCGGTCGCAAGTGCCTGAGTCAGCAGGCCTAGTGAGCCATGAGCAGGGTCATTCGGGACCACTACCGAAAGGATGACGGATCCTGCAGAGAACGTAGGCAGAACCGGCGCAGCGTTTGTAGGTACGCTGCATTCGGTTTACTAACCGCGTGCTTGCATGCAAAGTTTCTTTATTATTTAAGTGTTGGGTTTTCCATTTTGTTCTAGTGCTTTCCTTTCTCAGATGAATGTCTACCTGTACTCTCTTTTATAAATTTGCACAAGTCGCTTAAGCCAATTGTATTTAATTTCGGTAACATTTTCCTGTTTGAGGCATTTCCGTGAAATACGCTTCTGACCTCTGGAACTTATCTCAGATTCTTTTGTAAACAGTTTATTTCATATGCTCATTAATTTAAGATTTATGTCACCGTTTCCTTCTGTATTACTCGCTGTATTTTCTTGGTTATCTTTCTCTCAAGTGATTGGCTGTTGCTTGAGATCCTCGGTGTGGCTGCGCTTGATGTGCATGTTGACAAGGTGCCTACCTGTCTATTACCCCCTATCTCGTCCATACTGGCTCTAGGAGACAGTTGGTCGTTGCTGGAGGTGACGGGGTGCACGGTCCTTGTGGCCGTGTTAGTCTCGAAGAGTGGTTCCATGCACTCAGTGTGGAGCGGTGTACAGTCCAGCCACCGCCTTGTGTACACTTGATTCCCGAAATACAGCGTGCTTGTGTTCGCCTGTGAGGGGATGAGGGCCGGCTCCGTTGATGAATCGTGGCTCCTATCCACATGCCTCCCGGTCTTATTGCTTCGGGTTTACACTGTATATGGCGAGTGTGGTTGGAACTGTGTGTGGTTGAGCGCAAGCCACCCATGATCCCTCTGTAGGCGCAGGCATCCTGTGGCTAACCACAATGACAGGCAAATCAAAAACCGGATGCCGCCAACCATATATATATATATATATATATATATATATATATATATATATATATATATATATGGTTGATGGCTTCCAGCCAGCGAATCGATAACGACCGTCCGTGGTTTAACTTTCACTTTAGCTCCTTCATGCTTCTGTTCCTGGTCATACTTTGGCTACCTTCCTTTCGCTTCCAGCGACTTCTGCGTTCGCGAGGAGGACACGGTGAGGTAATCGTCGAGTAGACATGCGGAGAACGTGCTTAAGGCACTGTAGTCCGCACAGAGGTGTTATACTTCTCAGTGGCCGGCAAAGTCTCTGGTTTGAAAATCCTTCGTCGGATATTTACATTACTAGTTAGATGTTGCTGTTGTACATCAGCAATGCTCTGAAGTCAGTGGCGATCAAAATCAGCTAGGCTCTCTACATCCTTAACGCGAACAGACCGTCTTACAACCATAGAGGAGAACCGCTGTCAATGGCATTGTAAACTCGGCCCTTCAGAACTAGACTCAGATCGCTCCGACTCCAAAGATGGCGGAGATTGGCAAAATAACCCCAGCCTTTTAGGTGCACAAAGAGACCTCATCCGTTAAACCATTAGCGCTGAGGCAGTTTCCGAGGTAAACGAACTTGTCCACCACTCTCAATGAATGACCTAGAAGGGTAACTTCAGGAGCACCGCCTAGCCAGTCCTGCCGAAAAACCTTTCATTAAGATGGTGCGAAGGTCATTCTAAACTGTGAGACACATCTCCAACGTACACAGGACATTTCGCGCGGCGTATGAGGAAGCGCAGATTACGACGATGTCATCTGCATACTTTAAATCCCGAAGCCGCTCCCCCGGAAGCAGCTTAACGCAACTGGGTTCGTCCATAGCGTAATTGAACAAGAAATGGGATGCTGAGCAACCGTGTCTCCCGTCACTGTTGAGAACAAAAGGGGACGGAAGTCCGCCGTACACTTGCACTCGGTCCGAGGTTTGAGAATAGATAGTTTGGAGTAAGGTGACATAGTTTTAGGGCACTTCCCTTCTCTGTAGACAACTCCAGAGCGCAGCTCTGTCGACTGAGTCAAATGCGGGTCGTATTTCTAAGAAGACAACGATCATTGGTTGGCCAAATGTCTGACGACGCTCGAGTATTTGGCGTAGTGTAAAAATGTACTCAGTACAACTCCGACCTGAGCGGAACCCAGCTTGCTATTTACGTATGCTCTGTTCGCGTGCCAGGCTGAGCCTCCTTAGAAGCAGAGCTGCGAGCACCTTGGAAGCAACACAGTTAAGACTAATCCCTCTGTGGTTGACGCAGTCAGTTCGGGTATCCGCTTTGAAGACGGGCACGATATCCGCTAGGCTTCAATCAGATGAGATAACTTCAGTGACCCATATCTCTTTTAGGATAGAAGTTAACTCCCGAACAAGTGATGGGTCGCCATCCTTGTAAAGAGCCGGAGGGAGTCTATCTGGGCCAGGAGCTTTGTAGCGCTTTAAGAGGCGTACTTCATAGTCAACCTAAGCCTCGGATGGTGGTGAAGTGTCTATACGCCAGGAAGCGCTCTGGGCTCCAGAATGGGATCTCATTGCTGCTGCTGGCCAATTAAAGTGCTCAATATGCTCGGCCCAACGCTCGAGTCGGCGTTTTTGACAGTGGATTGGCTGGCCTTTGCTTTCGTATAAAACTTCGCTTACAGTCGGCCTTTTGCCCCCGGTAGATTGGAACAGGAGGAAAAGCTTAAGGAAGTTCCCCGAGGTGGCCGCTTGCTCCATCTCAATGACCCACTGCATCCACTAGGCCTCTCGATCTTCCTGGAAAAGCTGTTTGACCTCAGCGTTAGTAGTCTTGCGTAGTGCGTGGTGTTTAACGCTCGCAGGGATTATTCGACGGCTTTCGAGTAGTTGGAGGGATCGTGCAGAGATCCAGTGGTTGACAGGACTACTGGTGAAGCCATAGACCAGGGTTGCAGAGTTGTACATGGCGCCGCGGATGTGTGTCCAGTGTGCTCAATATCTTGGAACATATTTGAAGCCGATCGGGAAGTCATCATTTCATGTCCAGTGTGTTTTAATGTCTGTGCATGAGGCAGTTTTCAGCCATGAGGCCAAGGCATGCTGAAATACGCGGAGAACGTTTGGGACAGGAAGCTTAGCTACCTCAAGGCGTTTCTGGTGACGCTGCGGGGTCTACCAAAATGTAGCGCAACCTTGGCACACACCAGCGCGTGATCCGAAGTGAGATAGGTACTCCAGATTGATTTGCCGTCCTGTATGCTACCTCGCCAGCGGCGGCTAATGGCCATGTGGTCATTTTTGGTCCACGGCTGGTCAGGTGATGGGGGTCTCCAGGTGGCGCGTTGGCGCCAGGATTCCCGAAAGCTGGTGCTCGACAGAAAGACGCCGTGATCGGTGCATAACTGAAGTAGTCGATCACCGTTATCAGTTCCGTGAGTGCCATGGCCGTGTTGACCACCAAGTTCACGTTCGTCAACTTGAAGTCTACCGACCTGCCTGTTCAAGTCCCCAGCGAGCACCACGATGTCGGTACGGCGTTTTGTACGGAGGTCGGCCAGTTGCCCCTAGAACTCATCTTTAAGTGACTCCAGACTGCAGTCTGTGGGAGCGTACGCTGCGAAAATTAATAGACAGCGTCTGCTGGCTTCGTGCCTGGACAATCGCACTGATGTTTCAAATCGAATCGCACATAGTCGACTGTTAATTGGGATCCAGTTTAGTAGCCCCATAGTGGTTGCTATTAGCCCAATAGTTTGGCATGCTGTTGCTCGACTACGGTGTGTCGGCGTGTTGCTGATAATTCTCCTATCCAATATCTGGTAGGAGCCCCGGGTGGTAGATACTGATGGAGTCCGGCAGTTTTTGTTTGGAAAGAAACCTGGTGCAGCACTGTAGTGTTCACTATTCTTGAGCCACTCAGGTCCACGAGGTAATGCCTCCGGGTACGCATTCGCATTCTATTTCATTGTGTATTATCCTTATCGCACTGTTTGCTTGGAACAGGAAGTGCTTAACAAATTTCCAAATTTATACGAATAAATTGTTTGTGGGATTTGACTAAGATGTCATCTACCATGTTTGTATATTGCGCCCTCGGATCCGCCCCATCAATGGCTATAGGCTCTAACTCAGTGGTGCTGCTGCATTCGATCTATTGCATGTAGTTGCTAAGAATTCTTCACCAGTGGTGCCAGGTCAGAAATCCTTCAACTCATCCGCAAAACACTAGGCAGCTGTTTCATCCTACTGGGACTCATCAGCAATGCACATTCCTCAAGTCCCTATTTTTTCTTTACCTTTATTTTGTTGTCCTTACTCCCACCATCAGTTATTGCTGTTATCCTGTCGACACGCGTCAATACCGCTGGGTCTGTGCAGTTCGGTGCTTGGATCCTGGTTGTTTAATTTTACTGAACTAGACCGAACTGTTTCCTAGTGCAATTTGCAACAGATTTACTATGGCCTCTGTTAACTATCCCCAAGAAATCCATGGTACAGTTGCACACTGATTTCACGTACTGAACCCCCTAATTATTACACGCAGCTGGTTACCGTCTGTCCACTATATCCGTTCCCAGTTTTACAGGGTCTTGTCAAGTGGCAAAATCGATTGTTGCGTTTGGTCGATGATGTGCTACATTGGGTTGAGCGATTGTCTTCCGAACAATCATCGTGGATTCTCTTGAGTGGGCCCGACGACCCCCTTCATCACCTGCACAATACTCGTGAGCGTATCATTCAGAGGGTTAGTAATCCCAACTTCCATGGTATTAGGTTCCTTTCCTTAATTGTTATCCTTTTTGTTTAAATTACCCTAAGGAAATGGGATATTATGAGCCGAATAGCTGAGTGTACATTCCATACAAGTGTTTATGGGGCGTACTTAATTTTGGTGTAATTTGAACTACTTGTTCTCGTGGTGATGCTCTTTTTGATTCAGCTTCGACCCATATAGCACTGCCTTCCACCGGGCACATTTTTCATCCATGACCACTTCGCTCTGTTCTGTGGAACTATTTAGTGTCCTTGGCCAGAGGTTCTCGTTTTTTCGTTCATTTCCATTTTCTCTGGTTGCATTGTAGCGGCTTCCTGGTGTGCTGCTGATACTTTATCCTTCAGACTTGAGCAATGTTCTGGATTGCCTCATTTGAACAGACGGACGAATGGGTAGTGAAGTTAGAATTTCTTGGCTGTTTGATGTCGATTCTGCCTGTTGTCTGTTTTACGTCATTCTCTGGTCAAAGAAGCACATTCACTTCATGCACATTTGTATTGGTCACAGAGTCCCCATACACCTCGTAATTGCCGGTACAATATGCTGTTTATGGTTAAGTCATGACGTGCCCGTTGTGTGTGTGTATGTGTGTGGATTGCAACATACAATCTGACTTGAGGGCACGGTTTGCTTTGAAGCGCATATTTGCGATGTCGGTCACTGGGACTGCATCCGACGTGAAGAGTTTCGATGCTGCTCACTCCTAACCGCACTCCATGGCCGGTTTGTCCTAATTTTGTCTCTTCAGCTAAAGATAGCCTGAGCTGAGAGTGGAACCTCTCATATAGTGACCCAAAATATGCCATGGTTAGTTCGCACGAGCTGCTCGCTGGAGACGTCTTCAGAGCTAATTCTTTTTGCAAGGTGTATTGGATAGTTTTCCAGGGCTATGACTCTATCGCCAAGCGCTATGCCGCACACATTCAGCCACTGTCCTAATCGACCGTATATTGAATTTTAAAAATAAGCAGGAACAACCGTCCCGAGATAATTCTTCAGGGTTTTGTCTCCATTTCCTCCTATCGTTTCTTGTTTGAATGCCTTCGGTTTCCTCAGCTCAACCTGTGACCCTTGTTGAATTTTTACTAATGGGATGTGTTTATATCTCTATCGTTCCTTTGTGCTCATCGCAATTTTACGTTTACTGCACACTGCAAAGCAGGCGACGTTTTTCTCCAACTCGCCCCATTGCCTGTACCTACTGCTGGTGAAATCTCTCGAAATTTTTTCGGCTCCAGGTCAACACGTACTACGATGAATCCTTCGTGCTCAGTGCTGTTATCGCGCGTTTGCAAGAATTGACAGACCTGTTAAAAGTATGTCTGGCATTTTGTTCCTTGCGCTTTTACGCCGTTATGTGCAACTCCATTGAGACTAGGTGCCCACTGAGTCCATTTCTTGATGCTATGACCGTCACAGAGAATAAGCAACAGCGCCCTATCTGCTATATCGAGCAGAGTGGATAGGGTTTGGAAGCTAGTGCTCAGGCCTTCTCGTCTTATTCCGTCTTATGCGCTTTCTCAGCCTTATCATCCCCTTCAAACTTCGCCTTTATCCCCCGTTTTCAACCCCCGATTCTTGACCCACCCTCACCTTGCTTTGATAGGCGTCTATTTTCTATTTTCAACTCACATACAAACATAGAGCGTCACTCCTGCTCTATCAAGAACCCCATGTTTAACCAAGAGGTCAAGCCCAGTTTATCGGCCTCTATTTGCAACCCTCGATCCTCCCTCAGACCGGTCAACAGGCAACACTTGCCCCAACTTTAGACACTTCGATCGATATATGTTGCTTATCCTAAACCCGGGTGCAAGACTCGTGCTCTGTGCTCTTTTTACGATTTCCTTCAGGTGAAACCGGCAGTGCTTTCTGATTGCGCCCATCGATAGGCTATGCAGCTTCGAGTGCCGACCAAGCCGCTGCTGGTATTGCCCTGAGCCTCTGGGCTACAGGTGCTTTGATTGATTGGATCCTATTCGGTAGCCGGATGTGTGCTGTCCATCAGAAGTTGTTCCGTCTGATGCCAGAGACATGAAGCATTGGACTTGATGATAGTGAAACTACATGTGACGAAAGTGGACAGCCTATTCACAACTTGTCAAAACGCTTGGAGCGTTGGGTTGAGTACTTTAAAAGGCAATTTAATCGGTCGGAGTTTTTAGATTTCTCACCTGCCAGCGATCGCCCTGCTCCCTGTGCTGTTCCTTTGGATCCACCCTCTCCTTCAGAGGTCGAACGTGAGATCGGACTGCTGAAGTTGAATAAGGTAGCGGGACCAAATGATCTTCATTCAGCCATCCATTCGGGGGCCCTTGCCCTTGTAGATGATTTACACAAGTTACTAGTGAAACTGGGGGAGCAGGAAACGGTTCCAACCGACTGGAGCCGCTTTTTATTGTCCTGATCTTGAAACGAGGCTGGCGTTCGGAATGCGGCAATCTTAGAGGAATCAGTCTGATCCCCATCGCTTCCAAATTGCTTGCCTCTGTAATCCTTCACAGATTGACTAGCACTAATGGAGGTCATATTCGTGGGGAGCAAGTTGGGTTTCGTCGTGGTCGAGGCTGCATCGATCACATCTTCACTTCGCGTAGATTGTTGGAGCACCGTCACACATATGGGCCGCTCACCGTCTTCGTTTTACTCGGTATCTAAGGTACATTGGATTCATTTAATCAATGTGCCCTTTGGGACTGTCTGCTAGGGAAAGGTGTGCTCGAGAAATATGAGAATATTATAAGTGCCATTCCAGATGGAAGCGATTACAATAAGACTCCCAAAGACCTCAGGGAAGACTTCGTGCTAATCTAATGAGAGACCGTGAATCCAAGTGGTCTCACCGCGCGTCAGAGATGGAAGTGGCTGCTGCCATTGGTAACCATCGGAAGTTGTTCCGTCTGATGCCAGAAACGGGAAACAGGAGACGATGATAGTGAAACTACATGTGATGAGAAGGGACAGCCTATTCACAACTTGTCAAAACGCTTGGGGCGTTGGGTTGAGTACTTTAAAAGGCAATTTAATCGACCGGAATTTCTAGATTTCTCACCGGCCAGCGATCGCCCTGCTCCCTGCGCTGTTCCTTTAGATCCACCCTCTCCCTCAGAGGTCGAATGTGAGATCGGACTGCTGAAGTTGAATAAGGTAGCGGGACCAAATGATCTTCATCCAGCCATCCACCCATCCATTCGGGGGCCCTTGCCCTTGTAGATGATTTACACAAGTTACTAGTGAAACAGTAGGAGCAGGAAACAGTTCCAACCGACTAGAGCCGCTCTTTTATTGTCCTGATCTTGAAACGAGGCTCGCGTTCGGAATGCGGCAACCATGGAGGAATCAGTCTGATCCCCATCGCTTCCAAATTGCTTACCTCTGTAATCCTTTACAGATTGACTAGCACTAATGGAGGCCATATTCGTGGGGAGCAAGTTGGATTTCGTCGTGATCGAGGCTGCATCGACCACATCTTCACTTCACGTCAATTGTTGGACCACCGTCACATATATGGGCGGCTCACCGTCTTCATTTTCCTCGATATCTAAGGTACATTGGATTCACTTGATCAATGTGCCCTTTGGGACTGTCTGCTAGGGAAAGGTGTGCTCGAGCAATATGAGAACATTATACGTGCGCTTTAGGCTCGTAGCTCCAGCAGAGTGCGGTATTGCTGCAACCTGTCGCCGTCCTTCCGTATTTCCAACGGTTAAGACGAGGGCGTCCACTGCGACATTTTGTTTTATTTCGCTATTGAGGAAGTCATGGAATCGCCGTCACAGGACACGACTTAGAAGTTGTGGAGCTGCTCCCAGATGAACGACTTTTTGATTTGGAGCACGCTGATGATACTACCCTTATGTGTGACAGCTTTTATCCGTTTCAAGATGTACTGGACAGATTAACACTTGCTGTCTGCCGTTTCATGCCTTGCTTTGCAGTCTCGAAGTTGAAAGCTTTCCCCAAAGGTTGACAGGGTCCACATTCTATGCTGACCATTGTTCAGTATTAGCTAGAAGTCGTACGAAAATTGACCTATCTGGGCATTTGTATCAGCGCCTGTGGAACCGAAGTTGAGGTCACGAACCGTATAGCAAAAGCTCGAGACGTATTCGCTTATCTTCACCACGTGTGGCGCTCTCCCCGAAGGCTAGAGTTTATAATGCAGCCGTACGTTCAACCCTACTGTATGGTTGTGAAACCTGACCTGATAGGTCGGATGACAAAGAGGCTACTTACGTTTGACCACCGGTGCCTTCGCAGTTTGGATGATATCTGGTGGGAACATCGTATGAGCAATGAGCTTGTTCGATGCCTTGTTTATGGCGCAGGAAGACGAAATATACCTCTCTTCACCGTTATTTCATGCACCAGGCTCCCATGTCTTGACTACATGTTGCGCATGCCAGCCCACCGACTTCCGCGACGTGCGTTGTTTGCCCACTGGGGGTGTGGATGGGAAAAGCGCAGGATTATCCAATTGACGATATGGTCACGAAAAAGGAATTTCTTTAGTCCGAAGTTGGCCTCGGTTGGAGCCTCTCAATTCGCTGATTGAGGCTCGGAAGTCGGTGAACATGTTTGGCTGGATATACTTGTTGACATGGCGAGGGTCCCATCTCCCGCTTAGCCTCCCCGTCCAACCTCGATCTCATTTCGTACGCATACTATAATTGTCGTTGTAGCACAATAGTCAGTTGGTAGCTATCCGGAACGACGTCAGTCTGTTAGGGGTGACTAAGCTTACGCGCCTCTTGCAAGTTTCTTTTCTTTTGTATTGCGACGCAATAGCTGAGGCGTTCTTCACCTCTAGCTAACTTGTATACTTATGATAGTTATGTGGTCAGCGCCCTCACGCCCAACCCCATTTAGCCAGTCTCTCGCGTGTTCCACCTTCTGGGATCGTTTTTGTGTACAAGCTAATCTTCATGGTTGCTCGTTACTTTTGCTTGCTTGTATTTTTTGTCCTTTAGATCCATATATTTTTTCCACGCATTTCGTCTTCATCCGTCATTCCGCCCTGCATTTTCGTAAAGTTAAACGACCGGGAAGGTCTGTTTCAAAGTTACTGCTACCTCGACTGTTATAGATTTCCACTTCTTTTCACTTTTCACCCTAGCAATCAGCGATGTTTTCCGGTGGTCCAGGAGCTGCCAGCTTTGTTCACTTCCGATCACTCTCTGATTTGATCGTCATGCTGGCTCCCATGGCTCCTATCTTGGCCTGCGAATTGTGGTCACGTTTACAACTTGCCTGCCAAATGCAGGCAGCTGGTCCAGCGCGAGAAGCACTTTCTGTTTTGGCCGATAGTTCTTCCACAATTGCGTCATCTTCCGACTCTTGGCCTTACGACTTGGTCAGTTTCACATCTGCACTGACTTACCGCCTGTGTTCACTGTGGTTTAATGCAGTGGGATGAATTTTATATCTGGTCTGCTCCATTATGACGTAGTTTCTTTAAGATCCTTGGTCTATTTTTCCTCTTGCGCTCGATCGTTGGAGCAGATGCTTGCTAACCCGTAACTACTGTTCCACATACTGCAGATTCACTTAAGGTACCAATTACCCGCTTCCTTCTCCCCACCTACTGGTTGTAACCGAACCCCGAATGCCGTTTCCTGTGGTTCATTCGTCCTGCTCAATGATCCTTTGGCTGGGATTAACACAACCATTTACCCAACTCTTGTCATTTACAGTATTCAACAGTCTGCGCTTTCAGCACAAGTTTCAATCAATAACTTCGATTCGCACGTGGAATAAAACTAGCGACCTCTATACGCCGCCTTTACACATGATTAGTAAATGTGGATATTTGACCAATCAAATGGGAGGCTACCCTGAGTCATGGGCGTTGAGTATCTATGGATTACACACACAGTGATTACATTGTACGTTGCATAGGATGGGAGAACAGAACATAGAGTACAATAACCAAATGGTTGCTATGTATGTGATCTCCAACCACATAATCATCGCAATCTTGTGAGCCCCTACGCAAGGTACGATAAACCGCGCCCACGGCACCTCAATGTAACCGACGAGAGTTATATGCATGGTGCTGATAATCACAGCTAGGGAATCGTTGAACGGGACGGTCGTATTACAGCATAGGGCATTCGTAATTCTCCGACGCTGGTGTTGCTTTGTCTTTCATACGAACATTTCTTTTATTGCCATATTTCGAACACCGTACTTATTGTTTCACCATCAGCTCACCAACCATTACTGAATTATGGGTATGTTTTGATATCTGTGTGCTTTTCGCCAGGTTAATTTTCGCATTTGGCCAGCCAACTGACAACCGTTCCTTGGGCCCATTGGTATTTGCTCAGGGTTTGTTACTATCCGACTTTTCCTTCGTAGGCAGTTTTGCTTTGCTGTCTTTATCTTTCTTATTGATCATCATCATTTCGTTCAGCCTACCTAGATTCAATGCATTGCAAAGCCTCGATTCGGTCACTCTGTCCGGATTAAACTTAACAGATAACGTTCACGCTTTCCACCGGTAGGCTCAACGTGATGCCACACATCACCCACTCCGCTATCGTGCATGCATTTTTCATCGCTCTCATTACACCTATGAGGTTATTTCGACTCTGTTTCGACTCTTTTTGCAGAGTAAACTCGTGCTGGAGCAACCGTTTCCGCAATGTCCTACGGATTTCCAAGTGGTTTCTGATCCGCTTTCTGCACGCTCCTCTTCTGAGTGTGACGAAAAAAGTGTAGAAAAACTCTGCACTTGAACCAGTGTACAGTATCTGTAACTATTCTCTGTATATTGCAAGGTTAAAATGTATTCTGATAATGTACAGGTCTGTCATTTTACTTACCTGAAAATAATTTGTCGTTGCTGGTGAAACAGTCTCACGCTCAATCAAGCTAAGTTTGCTTGGACACACCTCTTCACCCACAGAACTCTGCTCTAGTTTGAAAGCTCATTCTCTAGCTCTGGGAATTTGTTTGTGTCTGTGTCGAAACTTGCATAATCGTGTTCGTTTTTTTACAAGCGCAGAAATACATCATCGGTTGTTGGATTTGTCGAATTATTCCATGCTATTGTGTTTATTGTCTTGGCGGTTTTCAGCTTGTACCCCGATTGGGCGAGTTCAGCGTTGTTCCACAGCCGGTCTCGTTCTCGTTTGATTTCATCAGATGCAGACAGTCAGAAGACGTCTAATGCCCTTAGCACTAGGCCACGGAGATCCACGAACCCGGCTGGCAATTCGGTTAAGAATCCGATGTTCTAACTTCCCCGCTATATTTGAATTATGACACGCAACATCTATTCGGACCTCTGTTCGTCATCACTGTGCACAGTAGCTAGAGATGTGGAGCACCTCCGCTGTATTATACCGCAGTATAGTCCAATTACATGGTGGGAACCGACAAGGCTATGCACAATAACGGTAAAAAACGATGCGTGAAAGGTATTGTTATGCTTTGTGTTAGATTTTGCGCCGAGACTGCGATCGTAGTTAATGCGACGAAGCTAGTCAATGAAGGGAAGAATAAAGAAAGTCACAAATCGTACACTATTGTGATCATCTCTTGGCCATGTTTATACGCGTCTCCCACCTAACATGTTCATCCTCTTCGGGACATTCACAATGAAAGCACCAAAGGGGGTCAGATTTGAAGTGAGATCCTGCATTGCTTTGACCAAGTCATCGAATGGCCTCCCCTCTTCTTTTTTCGTCCATTTCCCTGTCGCATAAACGACGCAAGTCTTGATAGCCAATATGTTTACAGGAATTCAAGATGCGACTGGAGTTGTTTATTGTGGTCAACATCATGAAGTATGTGCATCTGTTTTGAGAAACAAAATTGCTACTTATCTATGCGCTTTCCATTGGAGGCTACGAGGCGCACACAACTTCTGTGTGTATTCCTCGCTCGCATACATCCGCGGTTCCTAGGCGTTCGTCTTCTGTATTGGCGTTGGTAAGGCCCTCTTGGCCCGATACCGTTTGGTTTTCCTAGCACTCTTATACGCCTAACACATGACGCAGTAGTGTCTGCCTTTAATCCACCGCATGTCGACGTGTCACATATGGCCAGACCTGGATGTCCGGTGCGTGAAGTAATGGTTCCGAGAAGTTCAGTTGTTCTTCCTGGCTTGCCGAACTACCTCCTCGTGGTGCCAGCTGGGTGGTTCGGGTGTACCCCGTTCCAGCAAAGTGTTCGGCGACAATGTTCCACCTCGGTGAGACATTGTATTCCAGCAGGTGTGCTGACTATATGGGGAGTATTGGGCCCCTGTTTGGTAATCTACCAAACAAAGATGCATGAACTGAACATTCAGTCAACACATCCCAATGGGCGCGATTCCCTAAATTCGCCCCGCTGCCTTGCGGGTAGGTTATTTAACCAAGGGCTCGAGGTGGAGTCCCCTAAGTCAACTCCCTACTTCTGCTTGAGCAACCGGGTAGTATCACGCCCTCTCGCAAAACCATGGACTGTATTACAACTTGCTCATCAGCTGCTGTTTCTGCTAGTCACTTTCACGCGACTTCATCACACGCCAATTGTTTGTTTGTTAACAATCCTCACTTTCCTTTACCCGATTCATGTGCTCAACAATCTGGCTGCGATTCCGGTTGCGCCGCGGACCGAGGAGTTCAACCTATGGCTCTCCTTCGTCCCCGGTCCTCGTTCCGTCTGGCGTGCTTCAACGTTCGGATACTCATACAGAATGGAGAGCAAGCCGGTCTAGCGCGCACCCTAGATTCCCTAGACATTGATGTCTGCTGCCTCTCAGAAACCCGATTGCAAGATCCCAGCACTGTGCTTACACTGACATCCCCCACTGACCACGAAGCCAGATATCACCTGCGTCTTTCTGGAGATCCAGAAGCAGCCTCAACGGGTTTGGCTGGTGTAGGTATAGCACTAAGTGACAAGGCCGAGGCGGCACTACTGGACTGGTTCCCTATTAACAGCCGACTATGTGCAGTTCGGCTTCGGGGTTCGTGTAGAATCAACAGGCACCGCGAAGAGAGACGCAACTTGTTTGTGATCTCTGTGTACGCTCCAACTGACTGCAGTGGCCACCCGGTCAAGGACGAATTCTGTTGGGATCTACAACAGCTCTTGACTAATGCTAAAAAGTCGGATGTCGTTATCCTTGCTGGGGATTTTAATGCACGGGTTGGCCGCCTGTTACCATACGAACGCCACCTTGGTGGTCATCACTCGCTCGATGAGAACCGCTCTGATAACGGAGAGAGACTTCTCACATTGTGCGAAGACAACCGTCTGTTTCTTTCGAGCACTAACTTCAGGTGTACGAAGAAGCGTTCCGCAACGTGGCGTCCCCCTTCTTCAACACAACCGTGGTCTCAAATTGATCACATTGCAATTAGCTTCAGATGGCGCGGCAGCGTACTAGACTGCAGGTCCTTTTGGTCCACCTTCGTTGACTCAGATCATGCTCTGATCTGCGCAAAAATCTGTATGTGTTTTGGAGGATCCCGAAACACGAAGCCCTGCAAGATTGATGTAAACAGATTAACTGATTCATCTGTCCAGACGAGCTATCAGTCTTCACTGGCATATGCACTCAGTTGCAATCCACCGGAAGAAGTGGAACAACACTGGACTTGTATACGGAAAGCGCTGACCATTTCCGGCCAGTCATGCTGCGGCCTAACTCGACGCCCATTGAAGGCTTGGATCTCTGCTCGTTCTCTGGAGCTGTTCGAACGCCGCAAAGATATCCCCGCGGAATCTGATTGCAACGAGCGGCGCCGTTCTGACAACCGGCTGCTCAAGCAAAGCCTACACAAGGATCGCGAGACATGGTGGTCTGAGTGTGCTTTAGAGGTGGAGACCGCTGCCCTCTCTGGCAACACTCGCAAGCTTTTCCAGCTCATTCGGTCCACTGGCCTCAGGAAACCTGGTGTCAGTGAGGTCATTTTTGAGGTGGATGAGTCTCCGATCACCAACCAACAGAGGCGTATGGACCGTTGGGCTGAGTACTTTCACTCGCAGTTCAACTGGCCTCCACCGTCCATCAGTACATGCAGTACACGTTGTTGTCCACCCTGGCTCGTCCCTCTGAATCCACCCAGCGAAGCGGAAGTCGGCCTTGAGATTCGACGCTTGAAGCGCTTCAAGGCTGCCGGCTTAGACGGACTTCCTCCGGAGCTATTCATGTACGGCGGTGTGGCGATCATTAACCAGCTGACCGCGCTGTTCGCAAAAATTTGGCATGAAGAGAAAGTGCCTTCCTCTTGGGGAGAATCAGTCATTATCCCGATTTTCAAGAAAGGCGCTCGCACTTCATGTGCAAATCATCGCGGGATTAGTCTTATTCCGGTTGCTTCTAAACTATTGGCATCCATTCTGCTTCGCAGTCTATCCCCAGTACGTGAGTCATACTACCGTGAAGAACAAGCTAGTTTCCGTCGTGGCCGCGGATGCGTGGATCAAATCTTCACGCTCCGCCAGCTCCTCGAACATCGCCACATTTATCACAGGCCCACTATCATTGCATTTCTAGACTTACGTGCCGCTTTTGACTCCGTTGATCGACCTGCTTTATGGCGTTGCTTACTAAAGAACGGGGTGCCAGAGAAATATACCACCATCTTACGAGCACTTTACCTTGATACATCCGGCAGAGTGAGGGTCTATGGCAAGCTTTCCTCGCAATTCACTGTCAATAGCGGTGTGCGACAGGGCTGCCCTATGTCCCCATTCCTCTTCAACTTCGCAATCGAAGACGTTATGTCGAATGCTCTAGAAGGTTTCCATCATTTTGGCCCATAGCTTTTACCGGGTGAGCGCGCGACCGACTTAGATTATGCTGATGATATCGCCTTACTTGGTGACGATCCTCAGAGTATGCAACTCATTCAGGATCGTTTTGCGGTTGAAGCATCTAAGTATGGCATGAGCTTCGCCCCATCGAAGTGTAAAGTACTGCTCAAGGATTGGCTTTCACCTGCTCCCGTACTCACTCTCGAAGGTGCACAACTTGAACAGGTAGATAGTTTCGTCTACCTTGGGAGCTGTATTTCTGCTGATGGCACTATCAACAAAAAAGTTTCTCTTCGTATCGCTAAAGCTCGATCGGCATTTATCAATTTGAGGCACTTGTGGCGTCGTCGCGACGTCTCATTCTCACTAAAGGGCCGCGTTTACAGCGTATCAGTTCGCTCAATATTGTTGTATGGGTCCGAGTCCTGGCCGCTTCGCGTGGAAGACATGCGTCGTCTTTCTGCATTCGATAACGGTTGCTTAAGGAGGATCGCGCGTGTTTGGTGGCAACATCGAGTTAATAGTAATGACGTTCGACGTCGCATCTTGGGGGATGCGAGTATTCCCTTCAACAAACTGGTTTTGTTGCGCCAGTTGAGATGGCTCGGTCACGTCCTACGCATGGCACCTGAGCGTCTACCGCGTCGCGCTCTATTCGCTCGTCAAGGACCTGGCTGGAGGCGACCGCGTGGTGGTCAGCCACCCACTTGGCGGCAACACATGAAATCGCTAACGTCGTGTCTAGCCGCTGTAGGATCCGTACGTCTTCCAGGATGGGGACCCAAAGATGAGGAGTGCCAATGGATTAGCACTCTTGAAGATATGGCCCGCAACCGGAATCAATGGAAGAATTGTGTACATTATTGTATTGATTCACATGTTTAATTCTACAAACATTAAAATGACAAAAAAAGAACAAAAGCGGCGTGTGAAAAACAAACTAAAAGTGTTTTGTTCTTCTTTTTATCAAAATGTTCCATTCTTCCTGCGGCATATTAGTTGAAGTGTGTTGCTCACCTTCAACTAGCATGCCACGATGATTATGACGCCATGAATCTTGCTTATCTCCATGGTTTTAGGCTGGCTCTTTGTCTAGCTAATAGACTGTTGAGAATACATACATACATAAACAAAACGATGAGTGTCCATGTGATGTTCCCGGTAGACAGGAGCTAAGCTGCAAAACCATGGTAATCGGATGTAACTCGCCTCTTTACATCTGTGGATGTGATGGGCCGGTTTGCACAGCTATACAGTAACGTTGAACAGACGGCTGCGCTGTTGGCTGTATCTTTCAGGATAAGTTTGATGTCGATCTGGCCCCCTAATTGATGATGATTAACAAAAGCGCTCCGAGGCCTTGTTGTACGA